AAATGAGGACCCGGATTGTTGTTGGGGGCAATATGCTGACTCTGTAAACCGCTTAGAAAGGGCTGAAAGCCCTATGAAGCGGTATATAAGTAACTGCTATTGCTATTGCTATTGCTTTTCCTGCCCTTGGGTGCTTTGGAGAATATCTTGACTCCCTCTTCATTGTGGCAACCCCTGAGATATCGGAACGCTGCTATCATGGTCCTAAATGACAAAGCAAATAATATTGCGAATACCCCAAAGATGTTTTTTCAAAGTCTTTGGTTTTTTCCCCCTTGAAAACATTTCACTTCTCATCCAAGAAGCTACTTCATTTCTGACAGAATGGTGAGGAATGGGAGGATTTATATTCATTGCAGTTATCTGGCTAGTACTCTGAAGGTCATATGAATGCTTGAAGTCATAGCTGGTCTAAAGGAAAGAAGGACCAGGGGAGACATGAGAGTAGTCTTCCAATATTTGAGAGGCTGCCACAGAGAGGAAGAAGTCAAGCTATTTTCCAAAGCACCAAGCAGCAAGACAAGAAATAATAGATGGAAATTAATCAAGGAGAGATTCAACCTGGAAATAAGGAGGAATTTCCTGACAGGGAGAAGCAGTTAATCAGTGGAGCAGAAGTTGCCTTCGGAAGTTGTGGGAGCTTCATCCCTGGAGGCTTTCAAGAAGAGAATGGACTGCCATCTGTCAGGAATGGTAGAAGGTCTCCTGGTTGAGCAGCGGGGGTTGGACTAGAAGACCTCCAATGTCCCTTCCAACTCCATTCTGATTGATGGATTGATTAAATAAATAATGAGGTCCGAACTTGATTGCAGAAAATATGACTTCAGCAACAGAGTGGTCAATGCCTGGAATGCTCTGACACTGTGGTTTCTTCCCCATACCCCCCAAAACTTCAACCTTACACTCTCTACTGTCAACATCACCCCAATCCCAAGAGGTCTTTAAGGGGCGTGCACAAGGCGTGCCTTCCGTCCCTGTCCTAATTTTCTCTTGTATTCCTATTCATTTCATGTATTCATAATCATAAAGAGCCGAGGTGGCGCAGTGGTTAGAGTGCTGTACTGCAGGCCACTTCAGCTGACTGTTATCTGCAGTTCGGCGGTTCA